AGCCTTTGGAAGTCATAACAATACTAAACGATCTCTACATAGCTTTCGACGAAATCGTACAGAATTTCGACGTCTATAAGATTGAAACCATTGGCGACGCCTATATGGTTGTGTCCGGTAATTGTCGGCTCAATATTGACAATCATATTTCTGTACTATTTTGTATATATGGTATATGAATGGCTATACACGTGAACAGCCACTTGTTTAGAGGATTTCTTATTAGTGAACAAATATATTCTTGTTTTATTTTCTCCTTAAGTGGAAGTCTATTATATTAAGTGAAAAAGCATTGATAGCATGGATTAGAAATAAAGGTTTTGTTATGTGACAAATTATTTACAGTGAGTTGTGTCACACCATCTCCAATGGTTTAGAGATTTTCAATGAATTCTCAGTTATAGTCGACTGTCGTATACTTATGTAACAATTATCTCTAGTGTCAGTCAATTCAGTCCCTCCTTATTAGCGATAAGTAGAATCTAATGGTTAAGACTTTTGAAACACTATTTAGTGTACAATAAATTCTCTCATTCCTTGACACGAGAGACATGTCTTTGAATGTCTCTAATTTGTATTAATTGCACAATTATAAGTCTACCTATATTTTATCCGACTATCCTTTAAATATAAATTTAAAATTAAAAGTTTAAGCTATTTAAGTAAATTCCTAAGTAATTAATGTATGAGTATTAATTTTTAAAGTTTACAAATTTTATTTTATATGAAAATAATCTTATAAATCTTAATTAATTACTACTTAAATTATATTACTATATAATAAAATAGCAGACTCTAACTCTTAAGTAGGAAATTAGCTAAAAATATATGTCTATTTATATAATCTGTGGACAGGTATTCCCAATCGAAATGAGGATCACTCGGAACAGATAGCGTCGATGGCACTGGAAATCCTGCACTTTTGTTTGCAATTTAAGATGAGACACATGCCTACCATTCCGCTCAGATTGAGATGCGGAATACATACGGGTCTGTAATACTAATGCTCTTCAATAGAAATAAAACACATAAGAAATAAATAAACAAAAACCAAAACATAAAAACAGTTACATTTGTTACCGAAAATAGTCGCACGAATAGTGTCCGACAATTTGTTTTG